ACTTACTCCTTCAACTGAGGATTTGAGCAACCTTGTAGCAAGAATACAAGCAACGGGAGCAGACATTGTGAAAATTGCAACAACTGCTGTGGACATTGCCGATGTGGCACGCATGTTTCAAATAATGGTGCATTCTCAAGTAAGGCGTGTATGTCTAGAAATGGAAATTTAACAAGAAATTTTAACCCCATATGCACATTTTTTCAACTTTTCTAAACCTCATTGTTGATTTTATCCATTACTGACTTTAATTTGTGTTATTGTAAAGATAACTACTGTTCTAATTTACAGGTTCCGTTGATTGGAATTGTTATGGATGATAGGGGGTTGATTTCTCGTGTACTTTGTGCGAAATTTGGTGGATATCTGACTTTTGGCACCCTTGAGTCAGGAGTAGTTTCAGCTCCTGGTCAACCTTCACTTAAGGATCTATTGCATCTATACAATTTCAGAGCACTGACACCTGATACAAAAGTATATGGGCTTATTGGAAAGCCTGTCAGTCACAGTAAATCGCCCATGTTACTGAATGAAGCCTTCAAGTCAGTTGGTTTTAACGGTGTTTATATAATTCTATTGGTGGATGACATTGCCAATTTTCTCAGGACTTACTCTTCTACAGATTTTATGGGATTCAGGTTCCAACTTCTTATAAGAAATTTTCAATTTATATAATCTAACGTTAGATGATTTTCGAAATAGAAATTGATATTTAACATTTGTATATCAGTGTTACCATTCCTCACAAGGAGACGGCAGTTAAGTTATGTGATGAAGTTGATCCAGTGGCTAAGGTAAAATGATTTACTATTCACAATTTTGGATTGATAATTGGAAATGATTTTATTTCGTTTATCTAAATTCTTCCAATTGGTTGTGAGCACAGTCTATAGGGGCTGTGAATTGCATTATCAGAAGACCAACTGATGGGAAATTAATTGGGTATAACACAGACTACGTTGGTGCTATTTCTGCAATTGAGGATGGGTTACGAGGTAGTTGTCATCTTCAGTAGCTAACCAATGTTCAATCATTGTTCTTGGTAACTGTTATTCTCAAGATGTTGTGTGTTTGTGCTTCAATTACTTCTTGGCCAGGTAAACATAATGGTAGTAGCACAGATGTTTCTCCATTAGCCGGTAAGCTGTTTGTTGTAATTGGGGCTGGTGGTGCTGGGAAAGCAGTTGCTTATGGTGCGAAAGAGAAAGGAGCAAGGGTTGTGATTGCGAATCGTACCTACGGTAAACTTCATGATTTGCTTTTTCCTTTCTTAAAATTAAAGCGTGTTAAACTTTCAAAGTTACTTCTCGGATGTTTCTGACAAAACATCCTATGTAGGAGATAACTGATAATGTGCTCAATTCTTAATATTGTTTTGGATGAGAAATGTCTCTGGATACAGAAGAGAAAAACAATTTTAGTAAAAAGTTATATGATGTTCAAGTTTTGGGTACAAAATCAGTTTTTTGAAGCATCAGTTGTTTTTCTTTTGGGTTATATTTCTCCTGATATCTTGATAGCGAGTTTAAAAAAACTTGGATTTAGTTAATGATAATGTCAAACCTGTCTCAGTTTTCCTCTTTTGTTTACGATGTATACACTATTGTGCTTTTTCCTTTCAGAGTTCCTTTCTTCAAATGGTATTTTCTATGGTCCCAAATTTTCATTTTACGTGTGGATAACCTTCAAACATCAGTACTTACGAAACAACATTGTTTATGGTGTGATGTTGCTTGGTCCTCTAACAAGAATGTGTAGCTTTTTTAGCAGAAACAATCACAACATTATTTACGTTTGGATAAGCTTCCAACATCAGTACTTACATTAAATGTGTAGCTTTTTTAGCAGAAACAATCACAACTATTATTTCCTGTCAGTTTGAAACATATTTAATGACATATTACATATGTACTGCACTGTATATATACAGATCGGGCCAGAGAACTTGCTGATGCAATTGGAGGAGAAGCTTTGCCCCTTGCTGATTTGGATAATTTCCATTCGGAGGATGGTATGATTCTTGCAAACACAACATCAATTGGAATGATACCAAAAGTTGACGAGACGCCTATTTCTAAGGTTTGCTCCTGTAATGTAGATGTGCCATACCAATTAGGACCTTGAAATATTGCTGGTGTAAGTTTTCAATTGGATATGTTATTGCCAATCATATCTTCTTCCATTTGATGATGAAGTTGGTTTTCTATTCAGATGAAATATGTTTATTGGTGTCTGAAAATGCTTATTTCATTTCTTAATCTCACAAAAATTATGACCAATATGATAACTTCCCTTTTGTTTTTTATGCAGCATGCTTTGAAACATTACTCTCTAGTTTTTGATGTTGTGTACACACCCAAGATGACTAGACTGTTGAAAGAAGCAGAAGAAGCAGGAGTCACCATTGTGACAGGATTTGAGATGTTCATAGGGCAAGCATATGGGCAGTTTGAGAATTTCACTGGATTGCCTGGTAAGCTGAATGTAAAAATTTAATTGAAGAGAGTTTCATGTATTAACTGATCCATTTGATTTTGAAATCTTGTATTTCTTTCATGGTATTTTGAATTTGCAGCACCAAAGAAGCTCTTTAGACAAATTATGAAAGACTATTAATGAGGTTTGCAAGTCATTCCTTATCCAATTGAATTTTAAATCTTGTATTTATTTGATTGTATATGTACGGAATAATATGTTGCCATCCCATTTAGTAAACATAATCTCGGCCATAATTAAGAATAATGTTGTTAAAGTAATAATGAGATTAACAATCAGGTTAGGCAATTTCTTCCTACACCTCATTATTTCTTTTAATTCCATTCCTACCCTTTTGGTTTTATTTGAATTGTCTCCTTCGTGAAGAATTTCCCGTGCGCAGATTACATGTGTTGTGGTGTGGAGTCCCCAAAAACTTTGGTGAATGTGTTGTTGAGCTGTTGGTGGAGAGGTGGTGACGATTTGTGCAATTGAGACACGTTGTGGGATACCGAAAAATAATACGGTTATTTGTAAGGAAAATGGATCCAACAGCCCAGGAAGTTGACTTACGAGTGGGATTAAAGGGAATAACCACAGATGGACACGTGGTGGAAGACATGAAAAGCAAGATAAGAGGAAAAGGCACATGATCCAATAGCACAAGCACAAACTTGAAGGGCTATGAGTAGAGTATTCGCTAGTATTAATGTAATAACGGTTTAGTGAGAGAGGGAAGTGTGGTTGGCATTTATCTTTGTCCCTCTTGGTCTTTCTTTTGAGAACCAATTTCATTAGTGCATTATATTGTACTGTTTTTATGAAATTCCATGGTCCTCAATACATTAAGCATTTCCATTAAAGAAATAGAATAATATTGGTTTAATATCTGCTTTGGTTCTTGTTTAAAATGGTTCTTGTTTAAAATGGTTCTCAAGTTTTTTTAGCGTTCAAAGTGGTCTATTAATTTGTAAAAACTGTTCAATTTGGTCATTTTCACTAACGGCGATTAACGGCGTAATGATCACCTTAGTCAATATTCAATGAGCTGTCAATTTTTAAAATACGTGGTAAGATAAGGCCAAATGGCGTGACAATTACTATTAGTTAACTAGTGTTAAATGTTAATTCCTAATCATTTCTAAATCTTAATTGAGTACATTACAATTAAACCCTAATTAATTTTTTCGAGATGTTTTATTTCCTTTCAAGAACCCTAGTCATTTTTGTCTTCCCCACCTTTGGGTTCTTTCTCACGGACAAACCCTTGTGTTGGTTCGAGTTCGTTTTGGCAATGAGGGGAGGTGCTCCTCTTCATCCTTTTGTGTGTTGGTTTAACCTGTAGTGAACCTTTCTTCTCCCATTGTTTTTATGGTTTTGGTTCTTTTCAGAGCAAGGAAGCGTTGTTTCCCTTTCCCCTTTCTTTAGTTTGTCTTGGTTAGCGCAAGAAAGAAGAGGCGAGTTTCAGGTGGCTCAGGCGAGACGTTCCTACGACGCGATGGTTTCATTTTCAGCGTCTTTGAGACAACGAGGCCTACATCATCCAACGTCTTCGTGGCGGTGGAGGATGGGAGGGGCCTTGAGGTTCGTTTTAGGGCTCCGAATTGGGGTTCTATTTTGGGGATCTTATCTCGCAACTTTGGGGATCTAAATTGGGGATTTCGGTGTTTCATTTTTGAATCAAGGTGGATGTTGGTAGGTTAGGCTTACGTCCATGCTTTGTGGGTGAAGGGATTGTGTTTGGATGTTGCTCTTAGAAAGGTTAGACCAACTTTAGAGGAAGATGACTAATGGAGACCACATGTGATGCTATAGCTTTACTTAAAATGACCGCATAACTTTACTTAAAATTCAAAGATGAATACAAGAAGAGGAAACACCTTTATTTATAGGTTAATAATGTCTCCAAATTGTAGAAACGAGACCTAAAAACTCAAACTTGGCTAACTTGGAGAGCAAGATGAAAAATCCTCTCCATTAAGAGGAGGACATGTGGTAACTACCTATGAAAAATTCTCTCCAATGTAAATATGTCACATGACTACTCTCACAAAGGTTAGACGACCAGTCCCTTTCTCACCAAGCTAAGTTGAAAACTTTGACCATTTGGTCAACTTAGCTTATGAACATCCACTTGGGTCAACATTGGACCTTAACCTTTGTTGATTTAAATTAGCTAAAAATCTGACACTACTTGAATCAAAATACAAGATTCAAAATTATTCCTATTCTAAAAGCTCTATGATGATCCAAAATGTTTCAAGAGAGAAAATTTGTATCATCTTCCATAAATAACTTGAACTCTTCTTTAAAGGACTTAACCATAATTAGAAGGTACGTCATCAATTTCAAACGCCTCCCCATCTCGGATTTTCATTGTAGTGGCTTATTCAACTAAATAATAGAGGCTTACCTACAATGCGTTCTCAAGCTTACTCTACATTATTCCGCATACATTCCCAAGTAAAAATGAGGGGGAGGACAACATGCAACACCATCTATTGAATGCAGAAGAACAATGTGTACCATAGTTGAAGCCAAAAACAGAATGCTCACAAGGAAGAAACCACCACATTGGCAGAGATTAAAGGAAGGTATGTAAAAAAAATAGGGTTAAAGTAAATAACCCATAAAATTACTATTGAAACTTCACATCAATAATGGGCTACATGAAGCAATTGCCATGAGATTAAGACGTCCTAAATACACTAGATTAGGCTTAAAATTCAGATTAAAACCCACAAAATAAGTATAAATGAGGACACTGTTTAGGAGTTAAAAATGTTAATTATTGCATTTAATATATACGATGTATTATTTACTTGAACGTCAAATATCTTTCCAGACATCCTTCTTAACATTTCGGCTGGGGAAGAAGTAAGCATTTGCAAGAACATCTTAATCCTTGTAAGAACATTGTACATATAAACTGAATATGGTAACTATCAGTATTGGCTTGTTTTATATTCTATTATCTTTTAACTATTAAGATATATTCTTGAAAATGATTATACATGGAGACAAAAATTAGAAAAGATTGTCGGTTTATGTAGGACCATATACGATGAAGAAAAAGAAATTGAAATGTGAAAGAGAAACACAAAGAGAAAAGAAAAATAAATAATTGACCTTGATCACCCGTTCTCACGTTAAATACTAGTTAAAAATGAAGAGCCAACATTAATGTCTAAAGTGTTGTTTTAAATATATTATTAATCATGTAATTAATCTGCTCGGTCTTTCTTACTGTTTGAAATATCCTTCAGTCGTTTGGAATTTGGCATGACCATGTCAAACAACAAAACCTTTATTTTTTTTTCTTTAAAAAAATTCATTACTTAATTAGTTTGTTTTCTCAAAAATCAGAAAGAAAACACTGATGTTGAGTGAATTATTTTTCAGTTTGTTTGCTCAAAAACCAGAAAGAAAACAGTGACAGTGACGGAAACAAACCTATTTTAACAAATTTATTATTTTTGTCAATATGAAATTAAATTTATTTTCATACTTCACATACTTATCTAACTTAAATATTTCAATATTAGTTTAAATATTTTTATTTTATAAATCTAATTATTCATACATATTTTTTAAGGATCACATCCATTTTTCTCACAACTGAATAGAATTTTCTCGTGTCTATACCAGAAGACATTTCATAGGTTGGAAGCTTTAATTTTGTATGGGTGTGAAATTGACAATTTTAGGACTCTTTTTATATGTTATAATAGTCAATTGGAAAATTTTTGTATCAATTATTCTTTTAATTCAATCAACTAACTTCCAAATTTTCAAATTTAATTAACTTTTAATCATTTCAATTTATATCTGACATGTATATTAGTTTTTACCAAACACGTAGTGAAGGAGAAGGAGATTACGCTTAAGACTATCTATCAAACATTGTTAAGCTTAAGACTAACGAACTTCAACATAAAATGGCTTAATACTTCAAGGATTATAATTCAATGTACACAACTTTTCTTACATTTTACACAGTCAATGGAAAATCAAACTTAATAGAAAGTCTAACTTGTAGGTATTCCCTTAAACACGTGTTAATGCACCTCCACAAAAATTGTTCATTTATACATTATTCTTAATTTTTATATGCAAAATAAATAAAAAACAAATAATTAAATAACTAATTTAGTAATTAAATGTTAATATATATTTTTAGTATGATAAAAATATTACAGTATTAATATAAAAACTTTAGTTTCATTAGTTTTGTTTGAATTTTGTATATTGTTAATATGATTGAATAGATGCTTAGTTTTGAGTAACTCAAATATCTATTTGATTATTAAGAGAAAAATTAACTTAATCGTGCAATTAAATTAATAACAATTTTAAATTTATAAAACAAAAAATAAAAGCTATAATACTTTTTTATTACTAATTACATAACAATTGTTGAAAACTATTCACGAATTTAATTATCCAGTTAATAACGGAGTTCAAACAAAATTAATAAAATTAAATTTGTTTTACTATATCATATTTAAAATGAAATATATTTTCATTTGTAAATTAATTGTGTTTAAAATATTTAATCCAAGATTAAGGAGATATGAATTATAAATAATTTTAATTTTTATATTTAGACGTATGATTTTAATATATATATATTTACTCAATTTAATTTATTTTCTTGTTAAAAAAGTTAATACATTATATTATATTTTAGATTTTTTTTTCTCTTTACATCTTCTACCTTTTATCACTTTCCATCTTCCTTTATCTCTCACTACCTCCCTCTATTTCTCACTACCTTCCTTCGTCTTTCTCCCTTCTCTCCACCTCTCACTATTCCACCACCATTTTCCTCTCTCTTTTGGATTTAATGAAAAATAATAATTTAATTAATTCAAGATCTTCCTACATAATATCGGAATTAAAAGTATTATAAAATACGGTAGTATATACGTAACATGTATATATATTTATAGATAAATATAAATAATATTAAAAGTAGAAAGATTATATATTAAAAAATTGTATATGAATAAAAAGTATCTTGCAAAGAAATTTATCTATTTTTACTTTATTTTATTTATCTGTAAATATCATTTATTAAGTAATTTATTTAAACTAAACAACAATGCATCGATACCATATATACCAGTATTTATTCGGATAGAAAAGCATGATTTTTAGATTATTATTAGTTATAGTTTTCACTAGGTGACAAAAGTGTAATTGTGTTGACACGTGGCAGCAAGTCATGCTTAATACTATTAAACATTCTTGATTAGAAGTTATGAAGCTTTAATTATCTTTGCTGTCTCTTTTCAATTTGGAAATTACGTATTGTTCAGCACTATCTGCCGTC